TTTTTCTTCTTTGAACCGGTTCATAGCCCTGTTACGGGGTTTCCATATATTGTGAATGTTTTTAAATGTAGGGTTTCATTTGACCACTTTAAACACAGTGTTACAGTTGCAATAAGAATATGAGAGCAAATCAGTGAATTGAAATCACTTTGGCTCTACATTAGGGCTGCAACGATTAGTCGACGTTGTCGACAACGTCGACAATAAAAATTTGTCGACAAATATCTTTGTTGTCGAGTAGTCGTTTGATCTCACGTGACCTAATGTAAGGGCCTGCAATCCCGCGATTTGAACGCTACGGCGCTGTAGCGCTAGAGTGTAGTGCAGCCCTTACAAATGCTATTGCGGTAGAAGAGAAAACAGCGCGAATTATGACAGTCAGTGCAAACGAATCCGAACTAGCAAGGTTTAGGTTTGGGAAAGTTTCACAAAACTTCAAATCAAGAATGCTGTCGTGTGCAATGTTGGGGTGCAAGAGGAAACATCCCGGCAAAAGAGGAGCCGGTGAGAAGTGAGTAGGGCTGCAACAAACGATTATTTTGATAATCGATTAATCTAACGATTATTAGAACGATTAATCGAGTAATCATTGATTATTTCGCAGACTAATCAGTAAGTTTGGAACGATTATTTAGCTTTTCCAATTAGTTAAAACATTGAGTTATACATATTCTAACTATAGTATAAAAAAAGAAAATCACTTCAGCTTTTGAAATAGTTGTTTTAATGAACTTTGAGCCAACTAAACAGGTCATTCTCTTTAAGTTTTCAGATTTCGGTCCAACTCAAATCACACACAAATGCTCTCTAAGCATTGTTTAATAGGCCCACTGCTTTTCTTAGAACTGAAACAGAAAAAGGGACATTTACTTCAGGACACAAAGAATGGTAAAATATTAATCTGCAAACAATTATTATAATTATAAAATTACAATCTTTTTTTACATGACAATTGAGCTGACAGAGACGTTCTCATTCACCTTTTAATTTATAGTATGATAAAGTAACTGCCATGATATTCTTCCTATATCATAGGAAGGATATAACATCTCGTTTTGTAAGTCTTCATGATTATTGAACAAAATACAGGCAAGTGATAAGACAATAATAATACCTAATATACTAATAGTGTTACAATAATAAAAACAGCCCTGACTCCTAAGCTCGATCAAGCTTTATTCTATGCAAAATAAGTCATCACATTACTGTAATTATATTACTATTGATAATATTATTACTATTATTAGTAGTATTGCATTCTCTAATAAAGAGAGATTTGCCGCTGGTTAGTAAGCTCCAGCTGGAGAACACTCACTTCTCACCGGCTCCTCTTTTGCCGGGATGTTTCCTCTTGCACTCCAACATGCATGTTGTGCTCCCGTGAAAATTGCACACGACAGCATTCTTGATTTGAAGTTTTGTGAAACTTTCCCAAACCTAAACCTTGCTAGTTCGGATTCGTTTGCACTGTCATAATTCGCGCTGTTTTCTCTTTTACCGCAATAGCATTTGTAAGGGCTGCACTACACTCTAGCGCTACAGCGCCGTAGCGGTCAAATCGCGGGATTGCAGGCCCTTACATTAGGTCACGTGAGATCAAACGACTACTCGACAACAAAGATATTTGTCGACATATTTTTATTGTCGACGTTGTCGACAACGTCGACTAATCGTTGCAGCCCTAGAAGTGAGTGTTCTCCAGCTGGAGCTAACTAACCAGCGGCAAATCTCTCTTTATTAGAGAATGCAATACTACTAATAATAGTAATAATATTATCAATAGTAATATAATTACAGTAATGTGATGACTTATTTTGTATAGAATAAAGCTTGATCGAGCTTAGGAGTCAGGGCTGTTTTTATTATTGTAACACTATTAGTATATTAGGTATTATTATAGTCTTATCACTTGCCTGTATTTTGTTCAATAATCATGAAGACTTACAAAACGAGATGTTATATCCTTCCTATGATATAGGAAGAATATCACGGCAGTCACTTTATCATACTATAAATTAAAAGGGAATGAGAACGTCTCTGTCAGCTCAATTGCCATGTAAAAAAAGATTGTAATTTTATAATTATAATAATTGTTTGCAGATTATTATTTTACCATTCTTTGTGTCCTGAAGTAAATGTCCCTTTTTCTGTTTCAGTTCTAAGAAAAGCAGTGGGCCTATTAAACAATGCTTAGAGAGCATTTGTGTGTGATTTGAGTTGGACCGAAATCTGAAAACTTAAAGAGAATGACCTGTTTAGTTGGCTCAAAGTTCATTAAAACAACTATTTCAAAAGCTGAAGTGATTTTCTTTTTTTATATTATAGTTAGAATATGTATAACTCAATGTTTTAACTAATTGGAAAAGCTGAATAATCGTTCCAAACTTACTGATTAGTCTGCGAAATAATCGACGATTAGTCGATTAATCGTTCTAATAATCGTTAGATTAATCGATTATCAAAATAATCGTTTGTTGCAGCCCTACTCTACATCCACACTCAATTTCCTCTTAAAGCCAGAGTGTTTAAACCAGAACAGGTTTTATGTCTTAATTTGCCTCTTTAGTTGTGAGTTAAAGTTGTGTGGTGTCTCTGGGTGTGCTCTGATGCTCAGTTTCTTGTCACAGCATGTTTTGTCTCTGGGTCTTGACTGGCGTATTGTTTTTTTTCCCCTTGTCTAATGAATGCTGACTATAACAAGGCACATTTGAATTATGCACATTTGTTTGTCTAATCAATGCATCATCTCTCCTTAGATACTCTGTTGACATTCCTCTGGACAAAACTGTTGTCAACAAGGATGTTTTCAGGGATCCTGCTCTGAAGCGCAAAGCCAGGAGAGAGGCCAAGGTTAAGTTTGAGGAGAGGTATGTGTTTGTCAGCAGATCCATCTGAACTACTTCATTTTACAATTGCAATTAAATTGAATGTTGTTTGATCTTTAATGCTTACATGTTACAAGGATTATAGTGTAGTGCACAGATAATTGGCTTCCTTAATTTTATCCAGAAAAAAGACATCGTAGTGTTGTGGTCAAGTATTCCAAAGCCTGCTGACTCAAGCTTCTGTTCAGAATGCTGACTGTAGAAACAGTCTGATCTTGTTGTGCACTAGACGTAATATTCACTTTGCTACTGTCAATATAAGCATGTATTGTCTTACACGTGGTGATAGTGATGGCAATGAATGTTTTCTTTTTCCAGGTACAAGACAGGCAAGAACAAATGGTTCTTCCAGAAGCTTCGATTCTAATCTTTCATTGGTTTCACAAATAAATCTGTAAAAATCCCAGAAAGTGTTCCTTGCCTTATTTCTTTTGACTTTGGTTGCTTATCACTTTGTATTATTATGAGTCATAATCACTTTAAGAAGAGAATTACATACATTGTCTAAAGTTTATAATCTCATAATCAAAACAGAATGAAGGCAATATCTTCAAGGTTGTTGCTGGTTATCTGTCTTGAATTTAACATTGATGTTAGCATTGTAAGGATGTCATCATTCAGAGTATTACATCACAAGATATTTGTGAGCAATATTAAACCATATAAACACACTGGATAACAAATAGCCGAGTGGAAATGCAGACCCAAATGGTTAGTTTCCATAACTGTTTTTAACAAAAAAACTTGTCTAGTTGGACAATAGAAAGTGCATATCCATATCCACCTTGTGACATGGCCACAAAAATGGATGACCTCACCTTTTGATGCTGTATTTGACAATGAACTGCAGAATTAGACACTTTAATCTCAACTGCGGAGTGAGATCGCACTCTAAAATCAAGACTAGCTTACAGTTTTAATTGGCTCATTGCATGCTAGTGTGAGGAAAGTGATCTCTTAAGGACTTGAGAGTGAAACCTTTTAATAAACCTCTTGAGGTTGTAAAGCTGAAAGCAAGGCTTTGTGTTTCTATTCTACATATCTTACTGGGTTGTAATGGATTTCTGATATTGTATATGAAAGTGAACTTAAAATTTAGTTATGACTGATGATGGTAAAGCTTTATCTCTACATAAACACAAACCTCACATAGAGCATTATAATTATCAATCTGAAATTTAAAGATTTTTTACTGCTCTAAACTTTGACAATTTTCTACAAGAAAAAATAATTTCATGTCAAATTTTCCAGGTCTGAAAACATTTCAAAATTATTTTGAATTGCCAGTGTATAAAACTATCAAGGATTTTTTCCCACAGCCTCCTAATTTGGGGAATTTTCTAATTGGGGAAAATGCAGAGGAAGCATTTTGTTAGCACTTTATTTTAGCCCAGTAATGTACATACTACTTATAGTAATTGCAATAACTAGGTACTAAGCCTGAATCTACCTCTAAACGTAACCTTAACCCATGTGTTTACTAGGTAAAGAACTACATTAAAATATGTGTACTGTAAAATAAAGTGCAACCAGCATTTCATATTTCCCTGCAACCTTGATGGCTGGAAGGTATACAAAAATGTATTTGTTTCCTCAGTCCAATAAAAGGTACAAATGATATATGTTATGTCATTAAGACATAACCATGAGATGTACTGGGGTTAAAGGAGCGAAACATCCGTGACTGGTGGTCCCCAGCTGATGACCCATAAATGCCCTCTGTAGTGTTCCCCAACATGTACACCTTCGGTACACCTTAATCTCTTAGGCACCGGTGGAGGTGCGACAGGCAGAAATGCCCAGCAGGTTTCACCATCTACCTGTATGTTAAACCAGAAACTGTTGTTATGTAACTTTTTATGTAAATCCTTTTTTAGAAATCATAAATCATGCCTCCATGTTATGCTGTCTCATAATTTCAGTTGATAGCAGACATCCTGCAGTATAATTAGGTGCATTACATTTACATTTACTTTTATCCCATTTCTCATTTTTAGAGGGCGACTTAAGAAAAACGTGACAATACTTAGCCTGGGCTGCATTACTAAAAAACAACCCCAAACGTGTTTTTGGCATGAGCTGTGCCGCCAGGGGGCGCAGTGTGTTTCTCATGACCACCCGCTCTGCGTGCTGCTGCTGTTGTGCGCATTGAGTCTCACTCTCCGACTGCACGACGGAGGAGAGACTCGCTTGAGAATGTCACGAACCGAACAGATGCACAAAACCCCTCCGGTTTAGACAAAAGGTGAGTTATCTGCATGAGCCGTCCTATTAATTCCTAACTAACCTACCCTTTCTGCTGCATTAGCTTCAAAAGGACTCAATTAATGTCTTTGCTCTGTACACAATGTGCCACGATCTTGCGCCATTGAGTCTAATGCGATCAGCGTACAGCTCATGAAACTGTGCTGATAATGGAAGAGAGCCGTTAGAGCACAGGTAGTGGTAATCGAGGATGGTCGTTCCGTAATGGTTTTGTTTTTAACCAATTGTAGCAACTAGAAAAATTATATTGTGCTTCGTTCTGGGCAGGCAATATTTAAGCTACCTAAGACTTGGATCAACTTCCTTGATCGCCTACTAGTGTTTTGTTTTTGAGTTGACAGCACGTTTTGTTCTTTGTTTGTGAATTTTGGCTGTTCAGTGGTGTTTTTAGGCTTAAGGATAACAGCCGTAACATTTTGTTATGCATAAAGTGCATATTACTCTTAATGTAATATACCTGAAATGTTATTTAGTAAAACATTCTGATGTAGATTAGAAAATACGGTTATTAAGTGACTTTTACAACATTGACTGACAAAAGGCATTGCCTGAATTAATTATTTTCAAAGTAGATATGTTACTATTTGCAAACCTAGTGGCGTGTTCTCAACAACTTGTTTGTATACAGGGGTTGGACCATGAAACTGAAACCACAATAATTTATCAGTATGGTGTAGTAGGGCCTCCTTTTGTGGCCACTATACAGCATCAATTCGTCCTGGGAATGAGAGATACAAGTCCTGCACAAGTGGCTTGAGGGACTTTGAGCCCTTCCTCTTCCAAAACAGTGCAGTTCACTATGTGATGCAGGTGGAGGAAAACGTTTTCTGTCTCGCTCCTCCAAAATACCACAACGTGGCTCAAAAATATTTAGATCTGGTGACTTTGCAGCCCATGGGAGATGTTCAACTTCACTTTCATGTTCATCAAACCATTCTGTCACAAGTCTTGTTGTTTGTATTGGGGCACTATCATGCTGATACACGGCACCCCCTTCTGGGTACAATGTTTGTACCATTAGGTGCACATGGTTTGGTAGTCCGTGGCAGTGATGTGCCCATCAAGCACAGTAGGGAATGCAATGATATTACAGCCCAAACATCACTGATCCACCCTGTGCTTCACTCTGGGCAATAACAATCCGATGAGTCCAATAACACCCTGGGCAATAACACCGATGAGTCCACCGTGAAGGTGGACTCATCGCTGAACAATACGTTTCACATTGTCCCTTTAAGACCGCCTCCACGACAGTTACTCCTGTTAGTCACTAGCTTACTGTACCTCATAAATGTGTCAGGCCAACATGAAGATCAATTTTGTGCTCACAGCTGATTATCTGCTCTCTGTTGATCTTTTAGCTTATGGATTTTCCTTTCTGTGTTACTAGCCTAAAGCTGTAATTTGTTCTAGCTTTTGCACTATGTGCCAGTTTTGTAGGAGATAGTACCAGTTAATGTAGTTAAAAGTCTCCAATCCTCCTCTTGTATTCCTCTATATCCAATCATGCGCCTTGTTCAGATGTTGTACATTCCATTTCTCTTTCATTTTCAAGGGATAGATTCTGTCATCATTTGCTGACCCTCATGTCATTCCAAAACCCATATGACTTTCTTCTGTGGAACATAAAAATATATTTTGAAGAATGTTCGTAATGGAACAGTTTTGATTCCCATTGACTTCCATTGTATGGACAAAAACAAAACAAAACAACTGAGCAATGGAAGTCAAAGGGAACCAAAACTGTTTAGTTTCCAATCTTCTTTGAAAAAAACAACAACACAAATTTTAATTTTTGGGTGAACTATCCCTTGACTCTCCTAACTACCCCAGTCTTTGACACTGAACATGATGCAAGCTGCATGCATCCAGGCGGCACGCTCGGTGTCGGTCAAAGTCTCATGCTCGATTTGTTTTTTATAAGGTAGTTTACTGACTTCCGCAGGAGTAGTATAGGGTACGGGGAGGGTGACCCACCCCGTCTGTGTTCTCAATAGATAAGATGTCAATATGCTGTGCAGGGCCATTATAATCACGCCTGCCGCTAGGAGTTACTTTCTCTTAATATATCCACTTTTATTTTTGCATAAATGTCGTTATTTAAGAGCAGATAATATTACGTTGTCTTATAGAGGACTGAGAAGGTCAATAGGTTTCCCTGATGACAGGAGCTATAAAACAGCACCATACATGTAACCTAAGCATCTTGAATGAATGTATTTATATCCCCTCTGCTCTGTCTTTCAGGTGGGCCGACAGGATGGGGGAAGGGCCTGCAGTCAGGCCTTTGGCTGCTATTACGCCCGTGCAGCAGATGCTGGCGTCTGGCACTGGGGCTGTGCTAACATCTCTTTTTGGTGAGGAAAAGAATCGACACAATCATTTCTCCATTTAGAGAAAATTCTGTTTTTACTGTCATTTCCTTCATTTGTCCAGCTGGACAAAACATGTTTTAGTATTAATAAATTGCATTGGGCATTCAATTCAAGAAATTATTTATACTTTTTTTTTCAGCAAGGACCCTTTATTTTTTATTTAAAGTGACATTTATAATGTTACAAAATAATATCTGTTTCAAATAAATGCTTGACTTTTGAATTTTCTATTCATCAAGGATTCCTGAGAAAATGTATCAGTTTCCACCAAAATATAAAGCAGCACAACTGTTTTCAACATTGGTAATAAGAAAAAAATGTTTCTTAAGCCGCAAACCAGCATATTAGAATGATTTCTGAAGGATCATGTGACTCTGAAGACTGGAGTAATGATGGTGGAAATTCGGCTTTGCATCACAGGAATAAATTACATTTCAAAATATATTCAACAGGAAACCGATTGTAATAATATTTTCCAACATTAATATTTCACTGTTTTTCTTATCAAATATGTGCAGTCTTGGTCAGCATAAGACCCTTCTCTCAAAAACACAAACAAAACCTTACTGACCCCAAACTTTTGAAGGCTAGATGTATGTTGGAATATAATTATGTTTTTCTAAAGTAACTGGGTTGAAGGTTTTACAGTTTAATTAGACATTTCAAGCTTTGTGCCTGTGCTAGTGTTGTGTTTTATATGTAGAATCAAAATGCTAACTATTATACAAGGCTAAACCTTAATTTTTCTCTTTCTTTTTCTCCCTCCTCCAGTCACACCATTGGATGTAGTGAAGATCAGACTTCAAACCCAGCAAACTCCCCTCTATCAAGGTACAGATCTCAAGCAGCTCTTCAATTCTTGATCACAGACAGAATGTCAGATGATTGACCAGTAAAGTTCATGCATTTTCTCTTGACTTTATACAAGTCACACCAGTTCAATATCAGTTCCAGTGTTTCTACAACCAGTGCTTCAAATGCTTTAAACAAACAGTCTTCAAGTTAGAATAGAGCCAAAAGCTGGTCTCATCTGAGGAATTATCTCTTGCTGATGTACTCTGAATGTTTTTTTTTCTTCTCTTGAAGCTAAGTGAATATTTTCTGTGCCACTAGCATTGCAAAAATCACTGATTCCAAACAGGTTTTTCAAACACACGATGTCTGCCATTGTTTGCTAAACTCAGTCCTGCCCCAAACTCTCACCATTGGTTGAGTCGGTGCCGTGTTGGGTTGGTCAGGGTACAAATAGAGCTAATGTTTTGATGGCTACAAATGGCTTACTCTCTGTATAATAAGCTGAAATAAAATAATTAGAACTACTTGAGCTTTATTAACAGTGAAAATGAAGCTACATTAACGTTCAAAAGATTGGGGTCTTTAAAGTTGGCATAAAACGGAAGTTGCGGTAATCTTTTCTTCCCTATTGTGACGTGTATCCAAGTGAAACGGCTTCTCGAACTAGAAAAGTGTAGGGCGGGACTGCTGTGATGTCATGTGAGTGACAGGTTGATCCCGCCCTCACGCCATTAAAGACGTCATCAGAGAAGACAAGAGATGTCACTGCAAGAGGGAGAGGAAGTTATTTTGGTTAAAAATTACCAGGGCACATGGAAAAAAAAACCTCCAAAAAAGTAAAACAGTAACATTGTGAAATAGTATTTCAATTTTAAATTTCAAATGGAAATCTTTTGTAACATTATAAATGACTTAATTGTCACTTTTGACAAATTGAATGCAATCTTGCTGAAGCAAAACTGACCCCAAACTTTTGAACGTTAGTTTGTATCTAAAAACCTGCTGTAAGCCCTTGATAACACAGACCTCATGCTGTTTTGCATTTGCTATATGCACTATGAGCTATCTTTCTCTCTTTCTCTCTCGTAGCACTAGCAGCAGATTCAAGGCCCTGGGCTGGGGTCATCCGCCCTTCAAAATGTGAGTATGTGAAGCAGATGTATTTGCATCTGTGCTCATGGTCTTCTCCCAAAGACCATTTGCTTGCTTAACTAACTACCACTTGAATTACAAACACATTCTGCAAAACATCTAAATCACATAGTGCTAACAACATTTTGGCTTGTATAACGCATCTCTAAAGGGGTAAATGCAAGGTCACATTGCAAACAGACATGACACGTGTGCACAAAACACCCCAACAAGTTGAAAAATGCATTCAGAAAATATTTCGGTTGAATATCAACTACTCTGCTTGAATATAAATGTTTATTCAGTGTGTTTATAGCAGTGGACCATTTACTGAACTCATGAGGACAAACTATAAGCCATGCCAGGCAGATCTACCTTGAACCTGTCTTGCGTAATGTCCAAAAATAGTAGGCTTGTTTGTGCCAAGGCTGGAATTGGTTAAACTGTCGCGGCATGGTCAATGCCATGGCCACTAATATTTATAGAGCCTCTTATCTAAGACCTCAGTCCTAATCACCAAATCCTTTGAACTGAATGCAGGAAATTATCAGAAAAGTCTTGCTTGGAAAACTTGTATCACATGGCTGTTATATGTCTGCAAATACAACAATCCTGGAGTCATTGAGGTTACACACTGCATAAACAATTTATCTTTTTGTGATTATTAACTGTATTGTGGCAGTACCAACCCCTCCCCCCCTCCATATTTGATGTACATCTGAGTGAAACAGATTATCAGAAAAGTATGGTGGTGACTTGGTTCTATGCATTGGTTGTTGATTGGATGGAGGCTGATGTGAATGCAAGCTTGCAGTCTATTGTAAGGGGTTTAAGCTGACCAAAATGCGTCACCAGAGAGAAGCCTGTGGTTTCACCTGAAGATTATAACATTTGGATTAAAAATAATGGCATGCATGAATGAGTCATTCACACTCAGATCAATAACATTCATTTACAAAATAGATAACTCAGAAATAGATAAAATAGATAACTTAAACTCATACATGTATAGTGTCAGTGTACAGTTGCTGTCCTAACTTTAAGCAATCATACTCAGTTTCTACTCCAAGTGCTAAAATAGCCAATTACAAGATTAAAAATGAAGTGTTTTGTAGTTGAAAATAAGTTCACAAAAATGTTTGTTTTTTTTGTCTATCAAAGTCCCTTTCAAGGAAAGTTCTGCTCACTTGTCGGCCATAATTGCAACACCTGTAGACATCTATTTGGGGCATCCAAGACCAAGTCCTATCTACTTGAATGGGGGAAGCCTGAACTCTCAAGAACTGCTTGCTGAACTCACAATTAAATGACATATTTCAAATCGGCAAACAAAATCTGACATGAACTGTCCCATAAATGTTGTTTCTCATGCTCAAATAGCATTAAAAAATCGTATGTTTTCAGGCTAAATGCGCAGTCTTAAGAGCGAGTCTCAGAACAATAGCAGTTTCTAACGGCAGCTGCAGTGACGCGATGACTTTATCAATCAGCGATTGGGTCTTTTATTTTAGAAGGCGGGACTTATTCCGCCATATTGCGTGTTGCCCTTTCTCCCATTCATAAGTAATAAAATAGAGAAAGACTTTTTTTTTCTTTTTACAAAGAGAGCATACTCCTGAGTACTTGGGTGCTTGTGGCCATTGGCAATGTATTTGCAGAAGTATTACAAATTAAGTTTACGCTACTATATTTTCTGGCTTTTTAGGGAAATGTTTCCTCTATTGTAACGGGTTGATGGACCACGTCTATGTGTGTCAGAATATGTCAAGCTGCTCCAGCTGGTACAAAACCCCCACCCATTTCAGTGGGACTGTGGTAAGAATTTATTCGCACTTTTACAAATTGTGATTTCAAGTTTTTGTAATGACACATTCATGATTATTTACTTTTTGTTTTTCAGGATGCATTTGTTAAGATCACACGTAATGAGGGGATCAGGTCTTTGTGGAGCGGACTTCCCCCCACACTGTAAGTCCAGCATCATGTCACATATAAACTGCTTGACTTGCATACTGTAATTGTACTTCATCAGTTGCCTCTATTTTTAAAGTGTGCTGTAACTGCAGCTCATACGAAAGACTTAGATTCAGCTGTTGCTAAAAGTAATGACTTGTAGTTTAGTGTAGTGTTACAAATTTATTAAAATGTTTAATTTAGATTCCAATACAATAGTATTTTATATTGAGAAAGTTCATAAATGATGAGATCAGGAAATCTCTGCAAACGGTAGGGGTTCCCAGCGGGACTGTCCTGATCTCTGTCACCTGTTGTTTGTAAGTTCCCGTCTCAGTACGAGGAGGCCTGCCCTTCCTGTTCACGTGTCTCAACGTTTGAAGAGCCCTGTTGAGCAGGTTTGAAAACCTGTATACCTCATTACTGAGACCATTTGTCTTGGGGTTTCAGTGCGGGAAGCCCTGCCCATCCGGTTCTCGTGTCTTAGCTCATTTACATGCTTTGTTTCAGAGTTTCTCCCCCCTCAATGTAAATCTCTCCTACTAAAATGTGTATAAAATTGCAATGAAAAGTTCCCTTAGTCAGACTTGGATGGAAAGACTACAGCAACACAGCTGGTGTTCTCAATAAAGAAACCGTAGGAATTAAGTTAAATTAAGATTTTAGAAGATCTTAAGATTTAAGAAGAAAAATTAAGATTTAAATTCTGTAAATGCTTTGACAGATTCAAAGATCATTGAGTGAAGGATTCTGTAGGATTCAGACAGATAAAGCCTAGTTCACACTACATGATTTTAAAACGTCGGGCTGAACTGCGCGGTTCACACTACATGACTTGCTCTCTGTGAAATCAGGAGTGTTCAAGTTGCTGAGCTAGTTCACACCACACGACACAACGTGATTGATCCGCAACAGGAGGTAACGCACTACACGAGTTGACAACAACTCTGTCACCCAACGATTCTATCTTGTCTACAAACCACGTTTTGTCACGAAAAATCCCGCGATAAAACGAACCGGAAATGATGCGAAACAGCACGCGCGCCAATACCCAGCGAAGAGGACGAAGAAGAACACAACACGCGAACATGCCTTGCTCTGATTGGCTGTAGCTCATGACATCACGTGAGCTTGAGTCGTGCGACAGCTCTGGATATCTAGCATGCTAGATATTTTTCTGGCCTCGGCGACGCGTCTGCGAGCGTCTTTGATGCGTTGTTGGCTCTTTCATACTAACAGATTGGCGAGCGTTCATCGCCCGCTAATCTCCCGCGATTTGCACGCGATAACACCCTGACCTGTCGGCGAGCTCAACGATTTGCAAATCGGGCTTAAATCGGGCTTAAAATCATGTAGTGTGAACTAGGCTTAACTCTCAGATAACTTAGTCATTAGTTGTGAATCCGACTACAGTGGTCATGCTGTTTACTGAATAACTGAAATGCTGTGTAAGCGTATTTGACTTTGTAAATTTATAAATAACATGTTAATGATTAAACGTATAAATCAAGTTGACTGTAAATAATCTTTTTTGGGGTCAGTTGACTTGAGCGGATAGCCTGACAAACCAGCAAATAAAAACCACTCTGAATCCTTGAAAATGACACACATTTGTAATTCGTGCACAAGCTGTTTTCAGTGAAATATGCTCATTGGTGTGTTTGTATTTGAAGGGTGATGGCAGTTCCTGCCACAGTCATCTACTTCACCTGCTATGACCAGCTGCGAGACTTCCTGCGTTACAGCATGGGCTATCAAGGGGACCATATTCCCCTTATAGCAGGAGGGTTAGCGAGATGTGAGTACTTACTCGTCCTTCCTGTCTCATACAAGCATCTTTTACAAGACTGCAGTATTGTAATGTGTATTATGAAGATCTTAAAATGATATAATGTGCATCCCTAAACAAAGCTGAAAACCTGCATAATAAATCATTTATTGGCATATTTAACTAGTGCTGTCAAACGATTAAAATATTTAATCGCGATTAATCGCATTAATGTCATAGTTAACTCGCGATTAACCGCATTTAATCGCACATTTTTATCTATTCTAAATGTCTCTTGATTTCTTTTTGTCCCATTATTTTTTTCTCATTTTAATGCTCTTATCAACATGGAAAAGTGGATCGGCTTGCTTTGTGCAAATGTTTTTTATTGAAAACAATATTGGCATATACTGTTCAATTTCACACTAAAACATTATCACTTGGAGCAAATAATCTCTCACACAATATAACACTGTCCATCAATAAAAGGGTGAAATAAATACTGACGAGGTCCTGATATTGACGAGGGGGCGGAGAATTCGCATCAGCTGTGTGTGTGTGTGTGTGTGTGTGTGTGTGCTGGCCATCATCAAGTGGTATTCAGACTGGACGTGCTGCGATGATGATAGCTCAGTTCACAACGACAAAACACACAGATCACTTTGGTCTTGTCAATGGAACCATTTGGCAACTTTTTAAAAGTTAACTTTCCATTCAGAATCTTATTGGCATCCATTTCGGCGTCTCACGCTCGTCATCCACTCAAAACTGGACGTTTTGAACGTTCCTATAACATTCAGAAATAACGTTTTTATAACTTAATGGGAACGTTATGAAAACATTCTTATAACCTAAAATTGTTAGCTGGGGAAGAGGAGAGATTCGCGATTGCACTGAACACGTTTTAAGTGCAGGCATATTCTCTGAGTGAGCCCAGAGAAAAGTCTTACAAGAGCAGCGTGTATCTGAGAGCGCGCGCGACTCCAGCAGAGAGATTCGTGCTCGGCACATTATATTCCGCGCGCGAGCAGAGAGATTCGCGCTCGCGCATCCGGCTCGCAAGCCCAAACAAGTGTGTGCGGCGTGCCTGTTGTTTTGTTTCCGGTCTAGCTAGATCCGCTTGCGCTTTCAAAACGTCCTCGCGCGCCGCAAGCCATTGAAATGAATGGGTTTCATAGCGCAGCGGCCCGCATGCCGTCCTGTTGCAAAAGCATGTGAAAAAAAACCTACAAAGTTTGCTAGGCCAAAAAGACCGTTAATCGCGCGATAAAAAAATTAACGCCGTTAAAATGGGTTTGCGTTAACGCCGTTAATAACGCGTTTAACTGACAGCCCTATATTTAACATATCTGTCACTATTGGATATTTAAAGCAACACTAAGTAAGATTTTTTACCTTAAAATAATGTTTCCAAAATCAGTGGTTTCATCAAGTCGTAACAGGGTGAAAGGCACTTATGCCTCCGCTTTACGGTCCTATATCTACTATAACCACGCTATGTAAGATTGCCAGATCGGGTCGAGTTTCTGTAGTTCTAATGAGACATAAGAAAAATACAAATTTGACTTGCTTTACGTCAAGCGTTACAATAGTCATTATTTTGTTTTTCTTCGTTTCTGATGTCACAATACATCATACCTTCATGAAATCATGCAACATACTCTATCTTGTCTGTGGACATCGTTCATTCCAAAGCCGGTGCTGGATAAACAACGAGCGTGCGTGCGACAGTAGGCTGCGGTGGGCTAAATTATTTACAACAGCGGTAATGGACAATTCCGCTTCCAACCTGTAGGGCGACCGCAGAGGAAAAGTTACTTGGTGTTGCTTTAATTATGCATTATCATTCCCCTGTTTTTACTTGATTTACTAGACTGGTGCAGCCAGTACCAGTCAAAAGTTTGGGCACACCTTCTCCTTCAGTGGTTTTTCTTTATTTTTTATTATTTTTAACATTGTACATTTAATACAAACTGTGAAAGAACACGCTTGGAATTGCGTAGTATAGAAAAGTGTTAAACCAGCCAGAATATGTTGTAGTTTTTAGATTGTCCAACGTACCTACATTTAGCTTTGATGACAGCTTGGCACACTCATGGCATTCTCATCAGAATTATTAGGTAGTCACCCACAATGGTTTTCCAACAATCTTGAAGGAGTTCCCACAGGTGTTGAGTACTTGTTGGCTGCTTTTCCTTCACTCTCCGGTCCAACTCATCTGAAACCATCTCAATTGGATTTAGATCAGGTGATTTGTGGAGGCCAGGTCATCTGATGCAGCACTCTACTGACTCACACGGTCTCCTCTGAACAGTGGATGTTGAAATATGTCTGGCACTTGATCTCCTAGAACCATTTACGTGGGCTGTAAATCGGCGGTTTCTGAGGCTGGTTATTCTAATAAACTTATCCTCTGCTGCAAAGTTAGCTCTTGGTCTTTCCTGGGACGGTCCTCATGAGAGCCAGTTTCATCATAGGATTTTATGGTTTTGGCAACTGCACTTGGGATACATTCGCAGTTCTTGAGATTTTTCGGATTGACTGACCTTCATTTCTTAAAGTAATGATGTACTGTCTTTTCTCTTTACTTAACTGAGTGTTTCTTGCCATAATATGGATTTGTACAGTAGTTGTAGTTGCACTAATAGGGCTATTGACTATGTATCCACCCTTCCTCTGCACAAGACAACTGATGGCCTAAACACATTTAGGGGCTGTTTACACGACACCATTTTCAACTAAAAACGGAAAACTTTTTATGTGTTTTAGCCGTCCGTTTACACGACAACGGCATTTTGGGTGCCTGAAAACACAAACTTTTGAAAACGGGTTTCAAAGTGCACGTTTTTAAAAACGGTCTCTGTGTAAATAACAAAAACGTGAATCTCTGAAGACGATGAAGTCATGCACATGTGTATTACGTGTTCAGTCTATAGTGTTTCATCACCATCTAATGGCCTGGCAGCAGAATACAGGGTTTTTATTTGTTTTCGCGGATCCATGTGAATGGGGATCGTTTTGACAGTTGTGTCGTCTGTACGCAGAAAACTCAAAGGAAAAACGTCTCCGTTTTAAGCATATCGTTGTCGTGTAAACGTACCCTAAGAAGGCAAGAATTGTCACAAATGAACTCTTGACAAGGCACACCTGTGAATTAAATATTGCGGGTGACTACCTCGTGAATCTGATGAGTGTGCCAAGCTGTCATCAAGGCTCAATGTATCTACTTTGGACAATCTAAAATATAAAACATATTCTGGGTTGTTGAACACTTTTTTTTTTTTTGTTTACTACATAATTCCATACGTGTTGTTTCATAGTTTGGATGTCTTCTGTATTAATGTACAATGTTGAAAATAATAAAAAGAAAGAAAAAACACTGAAGGAAAAGGTGTGTCCAAACTTTTGACCGATACTGTATATACTACCATTCAGAGGTTTGAGTTCGTAAGATGTTTTTGAGAGATTTTCTTATGCTCACATTAAGGCTGCATTTATTTAATGAAAAATACAGTAATATTCTGAAAAATTACTTTTTGAAATAAATGTTGTCTATTTCAATATATTTTAAAATGTAATTTATTCCTGTGATGACAAAGCTGAATTTTCAGCATCATTACTCCAGTCTTCAGTGTGTCACATGATCCTTCAGAAATCATTCTAATATGCTGATTTCAAGTCGTGCTGCTTAATATTTTTGTGGAAACCAGTCATATTGTTTTTTTGACGATTAGAAAGTTCAAAAGAACAGCGTTTATTTGAAATAGAATCTTTTGAAAGTCTTTACTGTCACTTTTGATCAATTTAATCCATTCTTGTTCAATAAAATTGTTCAATAATAAATACGGATCACAAACCTTTGAACAGAAGTATGTACACTGTTAAATGTAATCTTTAGCAAATCTCAAATTGTACATTTATAATGCTGTAAATTAACGTTTAGTTTTTAAAATGATTGATTTAAGTGTTGTATTTTAGACAAAAAAAAAACTGCAAAATGTTGATGCATCCCCAGTTTTGTACTTTTCTGATTGTTCTGTTTGGTTGTGATCTCTGCTGTCACATTATTGACGTCTCCTCTCTGTGCTGCTCAGTGGGAGCAGTGTCTGTGATCAGTCCTCTGGAGTTGGTTCGGACTAAGATGCAGTCCCGCAGACTCCCATACAGCGAGCTGATGGTGTGTATCCGCTCGTCTGTGGCTCAGGATGGCTGGTTATCTCTCTGGAGAGGCTGGGGTCCCACTGTCCTACGGGACGTGCCCTTTTCAGGTCAGTGACCTGTACATTCTCTGGCAGTGGGATGTTCCACAGATGCAGTGCTTGACTGTTTTTCTCCCCCCCCCCCCATCAGCCCTGTACTGGTTTAACTATGAGCTAGTGAAGGCACAGCTGTGTGAGCGGTACAGTGCACCACAGACCTCCTTCACCATCAGTTTTACAGCCGGGGCCGTCTCAGGAGCTGTGAGTATCACCTCACTCTCAACAGCCAGATATAATTGATGACTTTTACTTTATTTTAAATGACGCATTAAAAGAAGGAACTCAATAGCTGTAAATTAATATGGATGAGTTTATGAATGATTACAGAAGGCTACAGTGAGGAAAAAAGATTAAACAATGTGAACAGAGCGTGATATCTTATCTGGCCTGACTGATTAACAATAAAGGCTTTTTACATGAGAACAAATGCTGGGTCGACTTCTGTCCCCATGAGTGAAACTGATCTTTTGCATTGAAATTTTTGCACTTAACTAATGGTCAAGTGATATTTTGCGTATTATCTTACTACATACTTAAAACATGACTACATAGTTGAAGTTCTTAATAACTGAATTGGTTTTGCAGTGATAATAGAGTTGTATAATTGTGAATATAACACTATAATTAAATGTATCTTCTGCTCACCAAGGCTGCATTTATTTGGGGAAAATAAAAAATAAAATAAATGTAATTTATTCCTTTAATAGCAAAGCTGAATTTTCAGCATCATTGCTCCAGTCTTCAGTGTCACATCATCCTTCAGAAATCATTCCAATATGCTGATTTGCATATCTTATCAATGTTGAAAACAGTTGTGCTGCTTTGAATATTTTTCTGAAAACCATGAAATGATTTTATCATGCAGTACTGGCCTCATCAGAATATCAATTTTCGTTTTGACACAGATCGCTGCAGTTCTGACCCTGCCGTTTGACGTGGTGAAAACGCGCAGGCAAATCCAGTTAGGGGAAATGGATGCTGTCGGAGGTATAGCAGCTTCTGTAGTTTCACCTGTTAATATGTTAGAAAGAGTGTTGTAATTCAACCTGAAGGTTGAGTGACATGATCTCATAGATGACCACTCTCTTTTAAAAACAATATAAGTGCTGATTACTTAAGCTAGAATTAGTTACATTTTATCAGGCATCAAATTTCATGACATTTTGACCTTTCTCAGCAATCTCTAGGAAGAAACCAGCCTCCACATGGAACATGATGAGGAATATCTGGATTGACATGGGATACAGGGGTTTGTTTGCAGGTAAGCTCTAATTTCTACAGTCTATTACGCACTTCTGAAAAGCACAATGTGATCTGATTGGTTAGCTGGACCAGTGTGTTGTGATTGGTCAACTGATTCAAGCGTGTTTCGGAAATGTCACGGCCCTTACCATAACGGCAGGTTTCAACACACTGCTAACGCAATTCAACCAGGCCAGCCTTATTTAAATTATTTAAATGAGGAATATTGTGACGTGTTCATTCCCAAAACAGGATCAGATTTTACTGATATAGAGAATAACTCTCTTTAGAGTCACTTTGTGCTTTGTTACATTTTCAATTTTCTTTGCAAAGTTACAAAGCATAATAGGATTAGTTTTTTATTTATTTATTTTTTACACAATTTCTGGCTGAAACAATGTTTTGGTGCAGGACCGAACTGGATTAGAAATTACACACCATGGCTTTAACTTTTTTTTATTGAAACAGTGATACTGTTGTATACATTCAATAATCAGCTTTGCTTTTTTCAGGTTTCCTTCCAAGAGTGATCAAAGTTGCTCCCGCCTGTGCAGTCATGATCAGCACTTATGAGTTTGGGAAGACTTTCTTTCAGAAGCGTAACCTGGATCAGGCGAGATGTGGTCTTTGATATGGGCGAGAGGACCTGTGGTTTGTCCAGGATCTAGCCCTGAGGAAGCTGAGAGGGACTCATTGTCAGCTACTGCAAACACTGATACCCAGCTTTGTACTTTTTTTTTTTTTACAAAACTCTAATTGTTGTAAAACTTCTACTGACTGGCACAAGGAATTAAAAGCTGTGAGACTTTAACTAATACTTTGCGTCTGAGATGTAGGACCTCAGTTATGATGCATCAATAAATGCACAATCCTCCCCAAACCCTGTGATGCCTTAGGGAACAATACCAAAGCATGCTGGCAGAAACACTACCTCCCCACTAATGCCCAACTTTTTGAAATGGCTGCTGGTTGGGCGCAACATCCAGGTTGTTGAATCTGCTGTGCTTGACTTGAGTCCCTTTTATTAAAGAGACAGTGCTGACCTCTGCTGTTCACGTTGAGGAAACCTCAGAATGAATGGATAAAATAGTCTGTACTGAGCTTTACTGTCTTTTTCAGCAGGGGAAAAAAATATTACAAAATGATTTTTATGTAATTTCTTTCCTTTAAAATTGTAATTATTCTTATTTACAAGACTAGTCCTTTGTATGGGCACTGTTTTTTTTATCTTATTATTTTATTATTTTTTTGCAAGTGATGTCCTTGTGTAGTGGATGGATCTCTGCTCTTGTCCTGTTAACTACACCTGCATTTAGTTCCGATAAAAACAATCTACTGCTGTAAACATACTGCTGACTTGAGATGATTAGACAGTGTACATTTGATCTAATAAAATGCATTTAAAAACCTCTTCATCATTTTTAGCCGACTTAACGTGCATCATTTCTGTGCATTTACTGAAGCATACTACATAAATGTGTTATAGATTGCATTTCTGAGTGAATGTGAGAGAAAGTATCTAAAAAATAATTGAATATGTCTGTGATGGCCCTTGTGGGATGTGAGCAGAATGATTGTTCACTCAAAAATAAAAATTCTGTAATTTCCTCACCCTTATGTCGTTCCATGCCGTGATATGAATATAATTTTTTTGCAACTTACACATCAAGAGTTACCCAGCAGCAGAATGTTTAAAGAGTGAATGAATGATGACCACAGCTGTCACCGGTCCCCATCCACTTCTACATGGCCAAAATAACAATTAAAAATAGTGTGGACACTCTGCTGAACATCATCTTTATTCCACTCTAGACAGACATACAGGGTTGGACCAATGTGAGGGCAAATAAATAAATGAACTAATTTTAATTTTGGTGGGAACTATGGTAAACTTTGTATGATTTTATATGATTGCATTTGTGTGATTTGTTTATAGATTTATCTCACTCCAATATAATTAATCTGACTGCATTAAAGCTGTTATTATTTAAAGGTAGAAATCTTTATTAGAACTGATAGGAACATTTAGGATTTAACCTAAATGCTTAGAATACAAAAGTTATGATTACTTAAGCTTTCAACATTATCAGTGTAAAAGGAAAGAATTTTTAAAGCAGGCAAAGTTATTTATGTAACATGTTTGAATATACAGACAGTAGACTGGAACAAAATCCTGTATGAAAAACATAGCTGTAACAAATAATGCACTGCTGTGCAGGAGAGGGCGTAAAAGCCTCTCTTGTAGTTTGAGGTTACGGTGTGCAAGAGTGGCAGGGTTAAAGCCTTTCTCCCCGATCAACAGTTATCTTTCCTTCTTATACCCTGAGCAAAGCATTGTTAAACATGAGAGGAATACCAAAGCCAACTGACAGGAAACCAAAAGATATGGCAAATGATTGGTGATCAAGAGGGGGAGAAGAACATTAACATTCTCCTTAATGCATGTTGTGCCTATTGTACATTAGGATAGACCTACTCTCTATTAAGTTCACCACCTTTCAGTTCAGTTTAAGCTGTCAGACCAAACAAGACAGTTATATGTTAGAACACACAAGTAGGCCTAGATAAATAGTAATATAAAGCACATGTGTCCTGTGAAGCAAATGGTACAGATGTGTCATTGCGGTGTAATCGACTCAATGAGTGTCCCCAACAGTCCTCAACAGCATATTGATGAAGAAGCCCTTGTAATAAACAGGCATTAGCATACTGTGATGAAGAAGGCCATTGTGCCACGTTTAATTCACATGTATAGCCTACCTTTAAAGGGATTTCTGACGTACAAGGGCAGTAAAGAGTTCTACTCATTTTCTCTCTGCCCTACAGCAACCTGGTTTTTCCGTGTTTAGAAACGCATTTTATGAGTTATAGCAAGAAAAATTGTACAAAAAAAATTTTAGTAAGATTGGTTGCATATTATATTTTTCTTACATGTGTTTGACATTAATCTTGGCACAGAAGGAATAAATGTGAAAATTTCACATCGTATGGATGGACTGCATTGAACACAATGCCACGATGATCGTAACGTACGAGACCGCGTATGCCGTGACGCACACGCGTCGAACGCCGGTTTTGCTTTATAAAGAAGCACCGCCCCTCAGTCGATCTCTTTCAATCGGACCGGGGACAAAATGGTGAGTGCTTGACTCTCTTTCACAATCCAACCTAAATCAAAGGCATCCTTCTTATTTTAGACTCATCGTGTTCAATATATTACACATAGAAGCTAAACGACTGGTTTGCTGTGGTTATAAATTGTAATTCATCTCTGCGCCTGAGTTTTTTGCACATGGTGTGTGTGTTTGACCGTAGAGGAAAATGGCAGCGTTCTTCTCTGCTTTGAGCTTTAACACATAAACGATTTGATTGTTATTGGAATCACGAAGGCGTTAGTTAAATATTATAATCCTTTCTGATTGTTAAATTGGCCTTTTCTGAGTTTCACTGTTCTCATTATGGTGTCTTTACGTGATTCGTTTTAGGGCCTGACTGTCTCTTGAGGCGTCTAAGTAAATTTTATAGCCGCAAGTTAAAGGGGCAGTCAGTAATTTCTTACGCTGCCGTTTATGTTCCTGGGACCCAGAAATAGTTTTTTGTCCTCGTAGTGGAGTTTATATTTTAGTGATTTTCTGACACCATACATGTCACAGGTTTAAGTCTAAATGTCCTGTAAAGGCTTTCAGCAATAACGTTACCAAAATTGGAGGTCTTCTGACAACCTGGTCTTTTAAAATGACTTGAATGAATTTAGTGATCAAATTTAGCACTCATAGAAAATTATATTTTGTAGTCACTTAAATCTGACCAATGTTTTAAAATGTCAAATCAACAATTCAGTAAAATATTATGGTTTCTAGGCCTAATCAATATGATTGTTACAAAACAGGAATTAATTAGGCATTCTGGGAGAGGAGAGAATGTGGAAAGAAATTATATCAATATTCTTATGAAATGTTAGGTATGAATGTTGCCCTTATTACTATTTTCGTTACATTTTGCCCCAAGAACACAAGTAAATTAGATGCATTGTATTGACGAATGGGACTACCCATTTATGGCCATTTTAACCACATTGCATAAAGTAAAAAGGTTTATCAATTTATTCTGTTATCTTTCATAACAGCTGATAATCATCTTTATACAAAGTTTTTTTTTTTTTTTTTAAATCTTGAAACTTATTTTTTTAAACAACTTTGTCCACTACAGAGGACATGGCATAACATGAACAGAATATTTCTGTAGTTTTTCCATTTTGTTTCTTATGCTTTAACCAATGTAATGACATGAAAAAATACTAAATTTTAGTTTCCCCTGGGTCCCAGGAGGATATGGCAGACTTGATGTTCCCATGTGGCGACCCATTCAGTTTAAAATGTGTTTGTTACTTTCCTCCAAGAAAACATTTACAGTTCAATAAATAAATTATTTTCTTGAATAAATTCAAGAGATTTAAAATTTTAGTATTCCTTGCTGAATATTTATTTTCTTGTAATGGGCCATTCACAGTGTTTAAGTTTAACTTTTTAATTTGCGCATTGTGTCATGCATGAGATTGTGCAAGAGACTACTGCAATGGTTAAACCTGTTTACATTGAAAAACAAGAGAAGTAGCGCAGTGGAATGGGAAATGCATTCTGTTTGAGCGGGGCCCCTTCAGATGTTTGTTCTATTAGAAATTGCTCTTTATGAATGAAATTGTTTTTTTTTTTTTAAGTTTGTCCAGCTTAATTACACAGTTGTGGAATTGTACAGAATGTCAGAATACTGGGAGTTTTCACATTCAGAACTTGACTGATTTACTTTTTAATCTATTTTTATTTAGTCTCACCGTAAATTTTCGGCCCCACGCCATGGCTCTCTGGGCTTCCTGCCACGCAAGAGGTGTAAACGCCATCGTGGTAAGGTGAAGAGTTTCCCTAAAGATGATCCCAGCAAGCCTGTTCACCTGACTGCTTTCCTTGGCTACAAGGCTGGTATGACCCACATCGTCCGTGAGGTTGACAGACCTGGCTCAAGTAAGTTGATGTTTAAGTGTTCAGATTTTGTTGCATGTAGAAAAGTGCTCTACTTTGCCTGTAGTGTGCCTGCCAGTGATGAAATCCTCGACGGGCGGACATATTCGGGCTTCTAATCCCTTGCTGAATGTCGAGTCCTGAGAGCAGTTGCATAATCAAGTCTTAAACCTGCATTAATTATAGCTTGGTGTTTAATATCTGTGAAGTCTTATTGTTTGCAGCTAACTGGCTTGTCCTTGTTCTTAGAGGTCAACAAAAAGGAGGTGGTTGAGGCAGTGACCATTGTGGAGACTCCTCCCATGGTTGTAGTGGGTGTTGTTGGATACGTCATGACCCCTCGTGGCCTGCGCTCTTTCAAGACCATCTTTGCTGAGCACATCAGTGACGAGTGCAAGCGTCGCTTCTATAAGAACTGGTAAGGCTTGGTTTTGAAAATGTGTGATTGCTTGCATGTTTAGTCTGGAGCTGATAGATGTTGGCCAGATTAAACGGTCAAGTTTTCCTGAGCCATTCTAATGTGTCGGTGTGGTGCAGCTCCGCTCAGGTGCCTTGTGCCCTGATGAGCTCCGGGCTCCTCTGGCCGGTGGAAAGGGCTCCTTAGAAACCGTGCCATGAGCCGAAATGACCTATTGCTGTTGACGCCTCCCCTTTACCATGAGGACGGGCAAAGCAGCTATGCCCAGTCTCCTTCCACTGGCCTGCTAGGCTATGAAGGGGCTGTGCCAACCTTTCTTTGTGCTTTTCCCCTGCCCTCATCTACCACGTTCAGGTACAAGTCCAAGAAGAAGGCCTTCACCAAGTACTGCAAGAGGTGGCAAGATGAGGAGGGCAAGAAGCAGCTGGAGAAAGACTTTGCCTCCATGAAGAAGTACTGCCAGATCATTCGCATCATTGCCCACACACAGGTGAGCATCTCCCCCACCTCCAATGAAATTCTTCAATTCAATCTTCAAAATGTAGTTGCTAATTTTCAATGAAATTGAGCATTGTCAAGCTGGGCCGTATACAGAACTGTATACATTTAAAACATGGATTAAATTCTTGGTTGTATGATTACTTTTCTTATAATTGGATCTGTTTTGTCATGAAGATTTACCGAACGTTCGTTTTGTCTGTAGATGCGCCTGCTGCCCCACAGACAGAAGAAGTCCCACTTGATGGAGGTTCAACTGAATGGTGGCTCTATCGCTGATAAAGTTGACTGGGCCAGAGAGAAGCTCGAGCAGTCAGTTCCCATCTCTAATGTCTTTGCTCAGGATGAGATGATTGATGTTATCGGTGTGACCAAGGGTCATGGATGCAAGGGTATGTGGATGGCTTCTTGTTCAACATTTGTCTGTTCCCATTAATTTAATTTTGACTTGACAAGCATTGTGCACAAAATGATGAAAGACATGGATTAATCGCGTCAGGCATGGCGCCCGAAACGCATGAGGAAACTCCCATGCTGCCTTCCTTCTGACAGCACACTTGCCGTATTATAAGCAAATGAGTTTCAAAGAGGCCTTTTCTGATCAAAGATGTGTTACTGTAGGTGTGACAAGCCGTTGGCACACAAAGAAGCTGCCCCGCAAGACCCATCGTGGACTGCGTAAGGTGGCCTGTATTGGAGCCTGGCATCCTGCCCGTGTGGCTTTCTCTGTTGCCCGTGCCGGTCAGAAAGGCTACCACCACCGAACTGAGATCAACAAGAAGGTGAGCCCTCAGAAGTGGATTCAAGCGTTCCTTTGGAATCACTTGTGCGTGTCGTCTCCTAAATTTTTTTTTTTTTTAATATTAGATCTACAAGATTGGTGTGGGCTTTCACACCAAGGATGGAAAACTAGTTAAGAGCAACGCCTCTACTGATTATGATCTGTCCAACAAGAGCATCAACCCCCTTGTAAGTGTGTAGATGTCTATCTGATGTGGTTTTTGATTTACTTCAGACTATGTAGTTGCTTTTTAAACTGACTCTTGTGTTTCCCTAGGGTGGATTTGTGCACTATGGTGAGGTGACCAACGACTTCCTCATGCTGAAAGGCTGTGTGATCGGAACCAAGAAAAGGGTTTTGACCCTGCGCAAATCTCTTCTGGTCCAGTCCAGCCGCCGTGCTCAGGAGAAGATTGAACTCAAATTCATCGACACCACCTCCAAGTTTGGTCATGGACGTTTCCAGACCATCGAGGAGAAGAAAAACTTCATGGTAAGTGCATGACAGCTTTGACTCAATGGTTTCTCACAGCACCCTTTCAGACTGCGGTTTAAAGATGTTGGTCAGAATTAGGCCATCCCTGGGTCTACAGGGTGTGTCAGTGCTTGGTGAGACCGACCTGACTCATCGCTGCTGTGGTTGATGTGCATCATGCTTGGCTGGATCCTTTTAAAGAAGCTTTAATTGGTTGCATTAGACCTCGATCCCGTAGAGCAGTGGTTCCCAAACCTGTCCTGGCGACCCACCAACACTGCACGTTTTCTTTGTCTCCCTAATCAAACGCACCTGATTCAGCTCATTAACCCATGATGAGTTGAATCGGGTGTGTTGATTAGGGAGACAAAGAAAACGTGCAGTGTCGGTGGGTCGCCAGGACACTGCTGAAGAGATCATATTTGAATGACATTGCGCATACTTTGATGCCTGCAACTGACCTGAAATGGCAACCTTAGCTGAAGAATGCTATGAATCTGCTGACTCATGATCCTAGGCACATCAGTGCACTGTTCGTAACCTGTTTCAGCTAATCAGTCTGAGATTTGGGTTCCATTCCAGTGCAAAATTAAAACTCCGTGAGGCAGGGGAGTAGTGCCTCTTTGTGCTTTCTCCCTGTTCACTCTCTGATGACATGACTCCATTTGTACTTTTAAAACGTGCAGTAATTCGTCTCAAATTTGAATTAGCTGGTAACGTTTTTTTTTTTTTTTTTTTTTTTTTTTTCAACAGGGACCCCTCAAGAAAGACCGTCTCGCCAAGGAGGAGATGTCATAAATGTGCTCATCCTCTGCTCTGTCTGGTGTTGTCATGCAGTACTGCAGAGTTGTTTAATAAAAATAAACAAAATGATGTCTGTCTGTTTATCAATTTATAGTCCCTCTATTTATATAGTTCTAATTTAAGTTTTTACACTGAGCTGATTGTTCTAACAGGACTCTTAACAATTGAATATGTGACGCTCCTTATATTTTTAATATGCTGATTAAGTTTAAAAAAAAATAACTATTCTTGAGCCCAATGAAATATTTAAAATATTGGCAATGTTACTTTTTCATGACTTCCAGGTTCTAGAAATCAAAATTTTAACATGAGAAACATTAAATATATTGATGTAGCTGAAGATTGGTGTTGCTGGTTCTTAAGAGTTCACCCAAAAATGAAAGTTCTGCGCATGTCATTACAAACCTGTGAGGTTACAAATCATCTTGGGAACACGATGAAGAAATCTTGAAAGCCTTGTCTCCATAGACCACTACACAACTGACACTGATGCTTCAAAAAGTTAATATATTCAATTCATATGGATTAGTTCTATATCTCTAAGAGACTTTGCTTTATGATGACCATAATTAAATTAGGCTTTTATTCATGTATAAGCATTGAGCAACCATAAACAGAAGCTCAACCGAGCCTCCTTGACCTGCAAGAACGAACCTCATTGTTCTTGCGGATGCTCTAATGTGCTGTGTAACACATGAGAATGAACCTCATTGGTTCTTGCACATCAAGTGAGCATGTTTGGGCTTTTGTTTACCACAATTGATGTTTGAGTTCGTGATTAAAAGCCTAAAATAAATGTTCATCATATAAAGGGATCAAGTCTCTTCAGAAAATTTGAACTAAACTGCCCAATATGGATTACTTTTAAGATATCTATGTACTTTTTGAAGTGTCAGTTGCGTAGCTGGACAGAAAGCTCTCAGATTTCATCAAAAAGATCTTCATTTGTGTCCTGAAGATGAATGATAGTCTTATGGGTTTAGAACCACATGAGGGTGAGTAAATGATGAATGAATTTTCATTTTTGGGTGAACTAAACCTTTAAGGGGAAACCCTTTTATTTTATGTTTGGCTTAATGCTTCTGTCTCGTTAAGTCATTTTGAGGGCCCCTTCATTGAGAAACATTGGTGCTCGACACTTTTCTAGTTTGATCAGCTGTTTCACTTGCATCTACATCACAATAGGGAAGAAAAAACTAGCACAACTTTTTCATGCTGACTTTAAGTTTGTCGTCTTCGAATGCTCGGACAGAATTGAAATGTAATAATGTGTCCATTAAAACTGAAACCATAATCCATAATTGCCATAATCTTAGATCTGTGGACTCAACCAAAGTGGCTTTTGCCCAGAAATGTGGTCTAACTTTGTGTTCTGTGAATGACCTCTGTGAAAGGTTGCTCTACTAAAGCAATGCTGCAGAGCAGGAAGTGGATCAATGGCACCCTTGTAGAACCCCCCGACTCAGCGAAAATCCTGGCCTTCAGGTGCTTGGTCAATAATGAATGCTTTATAAACCTTAATTAGTATTGTACATTCACATGGCTCCTGGAGGACAAAAGTTGATTCAGAGCGAGGTTGGAAAAGTCTTGGCTCGAACCTTTGACAAAACACTTGTTCTATGTGCTACTTTTTACTCCACAGTCCTCCATATTTGACAAGCTTACATCTCAAAGCAGGTGTATAATATTCTGCAAAATCACTTTAATAAAGAGCTAATTAGCTCACAGACTGACACCAGCATTGGAATAAAAGATGATAGGACTGATGAGGGCTGTGTCAGGAATTCTACCTTCCTCTGTAACATTCATCTGTCCAACCGCAACGCCCCACAGCACTCATGCCCAGATGTCCACAGCAAAGAAACAGCTGGCTTTCCCCACTCCCTCTGGCCTCCCACCAATCCCACCATTACATCACACATTGGTCGAGAGCTGCTGAGGACTTTCATTGCACCTCTGCCTGTTTTCCATGTGTGTAAATTTTGCTGTAGCGATCTCAAGCAACAATAGTTTAGTTACGCAAGGCCTGTAGGTTTTGTCCTTGAGAACCAAGCATCCCTCTGTGCATCGGGGGGTGTCAAGTTAGGATTGAGGCTTTTGTTTATGGCAGAGTCCAAAGGGAGCTCACCTAATTAAGACTCTTTGTCCTCACTGACTCGTTGCAAAACTGCTTCCCCCATCATTTTACAGCGTAATAAGAACCCTGGAAGCTCTTCACACACTATTTAGGCCTTTCTCTTTCCTCACATGGTAGATTTTCTGCACTCTTGGCAAGAATTGCTTCGCCCCACACCCACAACCCTTACGGCAATATTCATAAGGATTTATAAAGGATGGCTCTGTCGTTTTGTGATGAGCTTAGACCTTGGAGTGTTGTCATCACTTTTCTGTCGCAGCTTGTCTTTTTTTGTGCTTTTTCAAAGAGAAAGGCTTACTAATACTTTAACTGGCCACTTCAAGCTAGCATCAGAGAGATATAGAGGGGGAGGGGAGATGAAAGACAGTTTTGATTATTAGACGCATGAATCCTAGAATCGACCTGGATTTCACTGGGAAAAACCAAGGGGTCAAGGTTTGGCTAATTAGCATACTAGCCTAATCACATGGCATTTGCAGTGGTGATTGCCTCAAAGGGTGCTTTTCAAATGGAAGACTGAATGGCATTCTAGCTAGGTTGTGTCCTCAGCAATGAACACTAGAATGAGATGGTCTAGTAAGTCTGCTGGGTACATGAAGGTTTCCACCCATGCGGTCACGGCACGAAAATACTATTAAAAATCAATTTGGGAAAAATACTTGGTAATAAAAATGTTTTTATTATCTGACTTTCTTTTTATGCAGGAGTTTAGTGCCGACTCGTTTCCCACCAAATCTAGTTTGTGAATTGGAATGTGTGCAAAGGATTGTGGGTGACGCAAAAGATACAAAGCCTTCAAAAGATCCTTCAAATAGACCTTATTCACAGCAGCGCCATCTTTGATTTTGAATGGGAATGAAAGCAAGGCTGTGAGGGACAGACATGCATCTTTTCAATGAGCAGTACTGTTATTTAATGTGTTTTTGGATTGTTCTGCTCATGAAACACTGGAAAAATATATTTCCAAGAAATTTCAGTTGAAAAAAAAAACTCCCGACAAGATAAGCTGTGGAAAATTGTAACTAATCTAGGAGCTTTTTTACAGCGGATGCCATTGGAAACACAGCAAGTCTATCCCTCACAGCCTCACTTTCATACCTGTCATGGCGCTGCTCTAAATAAGGTCTATTGAGATGGCTTTCGTCAGAGCTTGATGATGTGGCAGCCGTAGTATACAGCCTTGGACTGCGGTTTTACAGATTTTGAAGATAGATGTTTTTTATGCAGGTGTCACATTAAATCAGATCCTCCCTCAAAATCGGGGTTTCCCTTAGGACCTCAAGCGATCCCATTGCCTTAAAGAACTTTTAATGGGTTTAAAACTTTAGCACCTGATTACAGTTCCTACAAAATCACATTA